TATTTGAAGACGCTTACGTTATTGTTTACCTTTCTCTGTCTACAAGGTGGTGAAATGTTTTCCAAGCTAGAGAACTGGCCTAAATTCCTTTTTCTTCCCTGCTGTCCTGTGGATGTCGCTTCCTCACTCTGTACAGGGCAGGAAGATAAGCCGATGGGAAAGATGTAGCTTATTATTTTGGCTCCAGCTGTTCCTTTGATAGCACATCATTTTCCAGCCAACTCTGAGGCCCTAAAATGCGATACTTGGGCATGGTGTTTTGACATCAGGAAGATCCGTGTCACGAGTGTGTGTTTTTGCGGGCACCTCACTATTCACTTATTTCTTGGTGAGGCAATTACAGTTGACAGTTATCAAATTCAGAATGAAGAGCCAAATTATTTCTAAGATGCAAGCAGGGCTTCTCGCGGAAGGGCCTCATTCCTGCGGTCTCTCGGGGGCCATACGTCTTCACAGCTGAGAGAAATCAAGTCCCTGTTTGGAACAGATTTTCAGCTTTTTTCCTTTGCTCATTGATGTCATTAAGGTTGCTGTGGAAAAGAAGCGAGCGCTGCCGGCATTGCTGGAAAAGTCAACACTGACGCGTTTCTGTCAAGCAGACCGTCTGCCTCATTGCTTGTTTTTTATCGTGTAGAGCTGCTAAAAATTGTCAGAACTAATAACAAGAGAGGAAGTGTTCCTTTGCCAAAACAACTTTGTTATGTGAGCCTTCTGACTGTGTGAAGAACAACTCCTTCTAATAACATCAAAGAGACTGAAATAAGAGAGGACAGAGGCAGACGAAAATACGCTTTGTTTTCTTTCTTTTCCTTTTTTTTTTTTTTTGTATTTTAGGGAAGGTCTACAGGGTGTTCAGGGTCTCACTGCTAGATTGGACTCGTAGTGATCCACCTGTTTAACGCCTCCCAAGAGCTGGGATTACAGGCACACGCCACCATGCCCAGTTTCAATTGCCATCTCAGCATGCCCCGGTGGCAGCGCCAGCATGGCAGGCCCAGGGATCAAACCCTC